CAAAGCTCCCTCCCGACCTGCTGCCACGGCCAGGGCTGCTGCGGCTCCTGAGGCTGCCTCTCGACTCCCTGGAGGAGCCAGGCAGCAGTCGTAGCATCTGCCCCACTGCTGCCGCCCACGATGACCCCCTCACATGGCCCGCACTGCCCTCAGCATCATTGTCCGCATCCTCTCCACCCTCAGCACCCAACGTCCAATCGGGGTCGTCACTCTCATTGTCAGAATCGCAACCTGCTGCCTGCCCATCTGCCCCTCCCTCCCCGTCCACCTCCCTGTCCTCCTCCCCATGCTCCTCCCGTTCCTCACTGCTCTCCTCGTCACTTGACGCCTCTGCCAGCACAGCCTGCCCCGCTCTCTCGCCCCATTTCTCCCCCTCTACCAAAGCCTCCTCCGCCCCTTGTCCTCCACTCGCATCCATCATCACTCCCTGCCAGCCGTCACCCTTCACACCTGCCCTCGCCTTGGCCTCGCGTGCAACACTACTGCCCACTTCTGTACCCTCGCCCGGTGCTGCTCCCGCCCTCTCCGTGCTCTGTGCCTGTGCCGGGGCTTGTGCCTGCACCTGGGCCTGTTCCTTTTCCTGCGCCTCTGCCTGTGCCTGCACATGCATGAACGCGTCTACATGCGGCACTGCTGCCTTGCCCTTCCTTTTCAACTCCGCCTCACCACCAGCCCCAGCAGCTGACACCGTGGCAGCAGCAGCAGCAGGGGTTTTAGCAGCAGTAGCAGCAGCAGCAGGTGAAGGAATAGAAGCAGGACGAGCAGCAGTAGCAGCAGCAGCAGGCGGAGGGGATTGGCGGACGTAGAAGAGGAGGTAGGCGCGTTGTTGCAGCACGGTCTTCTCACTCACCTGCTGCACTCGCGAATCATCCATGGCACTCCACGTGCCTGACGGCCCGCGCACGTAGCAATAATAGTGCCCCGAGTTGGTGGACCATCCCGCATGCACCAACACCCCGTACAGACTGTACTTGCCTCCCCTACTATCCTTACCCCCACCTCCACCCCCACCCACATCCCCTCTGCTGCTGCCGCCAGTGCTGCTGGTGGAGGAGCGGGAGGAGGTCATGAAGGGGGAGAGGTCGAGGGAGGGGGGGAAGGCGATGTGCTTGTCCAGCTTGCGCCCTGTGAGAGCAGCGAAGCGCTTCAGGTGCACTGTCAGCACGGGGGGTGCTTCCTCCACTGCGAAGCTCTTGAGGGCCCGCACCTTCTTCTTGCACTTGCTGCTCACATGAGGGGGTTAGGAAGGGGACAGGGGTAAGGATCGAGAATGTTAGTCGCTTCAGGTGCACCGTCAGCACAGGGGGTGCCTCCTCCACTGCAAAGCTCTTGAGCGAGCGCACCTTCTTCTTGCACTTGCTGCCGGGATGGGGAGTTGGGACCGGATGGCGATCGCGATGGAGAAGCGAAGAGAATGAGGGAGTTGATCGCTGAGATGCATGCACCGTCAGGAAGGAATGAGAGGGAGGGAAACGAGGTGAGATGATGGACAGAAGGCACTTCACGCCTTCCAGCTCAGCCCCCTCAGGCTCCGGCAGCCACATTTTACCTGCATTTGAACTTGGTCGCCCCATCCAAAGCATCTTACAATGTAGCACTTCAATTCAAGCTCAGCCCCTTCAGACCCCAGCAAGCACACCCTCACCAGACCTGCACGAGTGCCTGATGGCTCTCACCTGCACTTGTACTTGTTCGCCCCATCCAAAGCCTCTTCCGATGTAAACCGATGCAGAGCCTTGGTCACGGAGTCAGCTCTGACAATCTCGAGGCTGAGGTCCAGGAACGGGTCGTAGGTTCGGGAGCAGTACCCGCACACAGTGCACTGCACCTGGCTGCACAGGTACCCGCCAAACGTCCGGTGCACGAACGTGTTCATCAGCCTCGGCGCGAAGGCAGGATCGGCGCCCGAGCCTGAGGCGGAGGCTCGTTTGGGCGGGAGGCAGCATCGGTGGAGGGCGTCTAGCAGGCAACGCATGTACTCGTGTGCGTCCTCCTGCCTACCTGCTTTGAACGACCGCGCCACGCCTGTGTGCATAGGGGAAGGGATGCGGGGGGGTGTGGGAGACACGGGTGATGAGGAGGAAATGGGCAATGAGGAGGAGGTGTGATGGGGAGAGGGGCAGGGGAGATGAGAAGGAGGGGGACGAGAGGCCAATAAGAGATGAGGCGGAAAATGGGAGGTGAGGTGAGGGTGTGGGGGGTGAATGCGAGAGGGGGAGAGGGAAAGAGAAGGACGACAGGGAGAGGGGGGTGGGGCAGGGCGTACTCTTGACGTTGCGCACAAAGCCTGTGGGCGAGACCACCTTGCCCGTGGCCCCCACTGCCCTCGGCACGTGCGTCTCCATCTCACACAGCGCACACCACCCCGCCACCCTGCCTGCCATGCACAGGACAGACGAAAGGTTGCAACAGTCTGTCAGAAACTGGCTGTCTGGCAGCAGCGGTGGTCAATCAAGAAGATATGGACTGGAGTACACGCAAGGGCTTGCTTGCAGAACGAGCAATTGTACAATGAGCACGGGAAAGGCCAGCCGCGTGGGAAATACTCACAGGTGGCGGAGTGCGGCGACTGCGAGAGGTAGTTGGCGAGGGGCGGCGTGTACGTGAGGCACTGCAGGACGGAGTTCATAAAACACGTGTTGCCTAGGTTGCTCAACCCCGCTCCCTGCCACCCACCCCACCACACACGCAGTCGTCCCCGCACCAAGAAAATATTCTGCCTCTCCAATATCTCAAAGACCATGCGATAGCTGCACTGCGTGCAGCAGCACACAGGGTGCGTGACGGATATGTTTGGCGGGGTTGGGGTTCGTGGGTGGCGGGGGCAGGGTAGCATGCGTATCGTCCAATCCTGCAATCACGGACTGCTCAATTGCTGCAAGACTGGGTGCAAGACGGAGCAGCATAGCGTACAGTGACATGACCGGGCTGCATTGGCGCGCATGTCATAGAGAGCCGAGACCTGCACGCGTGTTTTGCTTACAATGGGCCGTATTTGCCGCCATTCCAAAGCCACATCCGACCGATCCAGACGCCCCTCCAATCCGTCTGGCTTCCTCTCACTCGACTCGCGCCGCTCCTTCTCTCCCTTTCTCTTCCCCTCCTTCCCCTTCCCCCTATCATTGCTCTCCAATCCGACCACTGGCTGCCTGCCACGTGGCTCGCGGCTCGGATCGGCCGCATTCAGCGGCTTAAGGTCCACGGGGAGCGCGGAGTGCGCGTCGGGGTGCCGCGCGGGGAGGAAGTTGATGCGCCGGGGGAGGCCCTCGCCTCCCGCGTACAGCGCGCCGATGCCGGACCTTACGCGAGTCAGAGAAACATCGCTCACGCCGTCGTGACTGTAACGGTGGCTGTGACTAGGAACGGCCTTATCGAGCGAGTCGGTGTTTCTGACGTAACCGTTGGGAGGTGCTGATGAGCTCCCAGCCTTAGATTCGTGTCCAGATGGCTTCCTACCATTGGCTGGGAGGTGCTTGCCTGAATGCGGCTGCTCCAAACTCCCAACTTTCTTCTTAAACCCCGAGCCTTGCGCCGACACTACGGGAGTCGCTTCGCCTCGGTGTTTCTCCGAACCTCGCCCGCCGGTTTGTCCTGACCCTTGTTGAGAAGCCTTCCGAGCCACAAGCGGAGCAGGCATGACGTGATTCGTGGAAAAACTTCGGGAATTACTCCTCTGGATCACCAGTGTACTCAACGAATTGAGCCCTAACGGAAAAACTTGCCGGCCAAGAAAGACGAAAGCGTGAATCTCGACTTTCCCAGGCCTGACATCGGCCGTTTCTGTGTCAAAGGAGTAAGCGAACCGCCATGACTTGACTTGTGAAAGAGCTAAACTTGGGTGAACCGAAGAGACTTCTCTGCGTGGGAAACTCAAGTGTGTGAGGTGAGGCTGCTCGCTTGCTTCGGTCTCGACAGATAGATGTTCCCATATCTGTGTTGTGCAAGCCAAGGGAGTTCCGCCGAGCCGAGCCTCGACACTTCCAAACTGGCATCCGCTTTTGGAGGGTCCTCTTTAGCAAAGGCAAATGTGTCTTTTGTCCAGCAATGTATGAATTGTTAATTCTTCATCTGTAAGCATAAAACGAAAACAGTGAGTGATATTCAGAAGGGGATGCACTTGGTTTCCACATGATTGATCAGCGAAAGGAGACGCGGAACGGAGTTGCATTGTTGTACGCTTCTCCGCACAGTGGGGCTCCTTGTTGATTTTGGGAGACCGACTCACGCTGAAAGGGAAGCTATTATTGGGCTGAGAAAATCGACCTAATCCAAGCCTCACAAATCAAACAGGTTTTAGCCACGGAGTAGTTTAAAATATCTCGGATTCATAGTGGTGGTGGGAGAGGTACACTCGCTATCTTTCTCACTCAGGTCCTTTTCGTCCAGCAAGGCAGAGACTGCTCGCACCGCCGAATCGAGGTTTGCCACATGACCTACATTCTGACTGGTGAATCCAGCAAGCCTTCGATGTCGCAAACCACGTCAAACCTGACGGATTTGGACCACCAGTTTTACAGCCACCGCAAACCAACCACACAACAACGCCATCGGTCCGCGCTGAGCCAGCAAAGTTGCGCTGTGATCGACGGTTTCCGTCAACTCAGTGAACGGCCAGATGTCGCTGATGCGATTGCGGGGCATCCTCGTGTTTCGTCCGCAGGTTCGGAGGCAATCCCAAGGTTGGGGGGAGCTTCCCGAGGCACGCAAACCCGTCTCAAATCCCTTCTCCCCACCCAGCCCCTGTCAAACCCACGCAACTGCACCAAAGCTGCCGAGCCGAGCTCCCCAGCACGCAAGAACAAGCGACGCAGGCGAACCCCTCATACATTACCTCCTTCCGATCAGGCATTTTGAACGATCAGCTTTGAGATCAGTTCACAGCTGGTCTTTCTACCTTCCTGTGTGGATCCGAGTCTAAGGTCTCAAACCACTCCCTTGTGTAGAAAGCCCTTCGGAATTCGGGCTGTTCTTCCCCGATAAGCCACACAGAAGGCGTAACCATGGCGACCACTTCGGCGGCCGTCCTCCCGTCAGGGGTCTTCCTAACCCGAGGGTCGGAGATCCAGAGAATTCCCGCGCGCGCCGCTGCGGGAGCCAGAGCCCTCGCACCCCTCGCGTCGTCAAAACTGCGAGCCTCCCCCAGATTGCCGGCCCTAGCCACTCCATTCATCCGATCCTTCAAACCCACTGCGGCTCCGACCGTCGGCCTGCAGTCACAAAGACGACAAATCTCGTGCGCCGTGGAGGCTCCTCCCAAGCAATCAGCTCCAGAGCCATCTCCGTTTGAAGCGGCGCAAGTGTGGTTCTCGGACGTGATCGCGCAACGGAAGCGGCCGTACTTCTTCAACCGGGAGTACACGTCGAAGGACATCAGCTACGCGGTGTACATGCTCTTCGTCCATGGCTTGTGCCTCTTCGCTCCAGCCACCTTCTCCTGGGAAAACGTTGGCCTCTTCGTCGGCCTTTACGTGATCACAGGTGCGTTGTTTCTTCGCTTGCAGACTGTTTTCTCCTCGCTTTTTTACATCTCCGCAACCGTGACTTAGCAATTGTTCATCTAGCGTTGAGGCTGACTTTCCTTACAACTTGTTTGGTCCTCTTATTACTATCCAGGAATGTTTGGGATCACGCTGTCATACCACCGCAATTTGTCGCATCGTTCTTTCACGCTTCCCAAGTGGCTCGAGTACACCTTCGCGTACTGCGGGGTTCAAGCTGTTCAGGTACGACGTCGCTGCTCACTCTTCGCTCACTGATCTTTGTCTTCGCGCGTTGTTCGTCCCTTTCACTCAGTCGTGTTCGCGTTACTTTTATCCAATTCTCCTGTGACGCTCCTGTGGAAACCTTGCATTTCCACAATCATTCTCTTCCTTACCGTCCCTCGTCCGGCGTCCGAACCCCGTCCTGTTTGTGTCTCACGTTGCTTCCCGCAGGGCGACCCCAAGGAGTGGGTGAGCGCTCACCGCTATCACCATCGCTTCTGCGACACGCCTGCCGACCCGCACACGCCGTACGAGGGCTTCTGGCACAGCCACATGGGGTGGCTTCTCGACGACGTCGCCACGCAAGAACGGGTATGATTATTCTTAAGTGTGCCCTGTCGCGTAGCTCACCTTTGCGTAACATCGCACCTTAAAATTGGAAGCAGTTGAACCTGGAACGGAAAATGGACGTCAAATGTAGCAGGATGTAAAAAGAAAAACATGTGTAGAGTGAGGGGCGACTCCTTACCGTGTGTTTTTTTTTTCTGCACTGTACCGTACTGCACCACGTGAAACTCCAGGTGGGTGTGCGCAACAACATCGCGGACATGGAGAACGATCCCTTCTACAACTTCATCGAGGCCACCTACGTGTGGCACATCGTGGCGTCCGTGCTGCTGCTCTACGCCCTCGGAGGCTTCCCCTGGGTCGTCTGGGGCTTCGTAAGTGCTCCGTGCATCTTTTGCGAGCTGGCCTTGTCCTTCGAGTCGAGTCTTTGTGCAACCTTGGCTCATCCTTTGGGTCGTATGGGGTTAGTAACTGTCCTTCAATTTTTTTGCAGCTTTGATTCATCCTTTCTTCCTTGGGTTCTCTTCAGTCCTTTATCAGGTCTTCGAAAGGCAACTAATGGTCGAAATTTCGTTGCTATAACGGTTGTATTATTCTCCTTTTGTTGTCCACGTCTGTCTCTCTCAGGGCGTGCGCGCTGTGTGGGTGTACCACATCACATGGTTCGTCAACTCCGCGTCGCACGTGTGGGGCTACCAATCCTGGAACACTGGCGACCTTTCGCGAAACAACTGGTAGGCCTTGCAATGTCTCTTTAATAACTCCCTCCCCCCAACCTACAGTCAATATGGCCTGTGAAGATTCGTTAAGGGCTTGTTGGGAAGGCAGTTAAGTGAGCTGAGGCCTATGCACCTTAAGCTTCAGCTCAGTCGATCAGTGGGTCAAGACTGTGTGTCAAGTGTCTCTATTGTGGCAGATGCAAGAGCATGTGCAGCAGAGTGTGCTCACGCCTTCAGCACTTAGCCTGTTGGCTAGCCTTTAGTCGGATCTGGGTGAGCGGGTCTGGGGGGTGGTAAGATTCAGCAGGACTCCGAGGGAGTTGTGTTACCCAGCTTGGATGGCACATGCTCCTGGTTCTAGTTAGCACTCGAGTCTGTCTACATGGAAACGTCACATTGCTCTCTTCCCCCTAACGTCCCGTTGGCTCACTCTTCCTTCCCTCCTATCCCTCCTATTCCCTGCACGACAGGTGGGTGGGGCTGCTGGCGTTTGGCGAGGGGTGGCACAACAACCACCACGCGTTCCAGTACTCGTGCCGGCATGGGCTGGAGAATCACCAGGTGGACATGACGTGGTACACCATCAAGCTGCTCGAGGCTGCAGGGCTCGCCACCCAGCTCAAGTACCCCCATGAGAAGCACATGAAGCGCCTCTCCTTCCCGGACCAACCAGCCCCCCAGCAGTAGCTGATGACGCAAACTCACGCTTCTCTCCCTCACTCTGCCGTCATCCCAGTCCCCAGGCTGGGAGTCCCAGTTCTTCCTTCCCCGCGTCGTGTATGGTGTGTGGATGGGCTGATTTGGGAGGATTGGGATGGCTGTTATTCCTTGCTGGAATGGGTGCATTCCTCTAAGTGTCTTGGTCGACAAGACACATTCACGTCCTTTGCCTTAGGCAGAAGGCTGTGTTGTAAAGAGTTTTTTTTGGCATAATGGAAATAGAACTTCTGGTTTTATAAAATGCATGGTAGCAGTAACGATCAAGTCCTAGAGAATTGCCAAACAAAGCAGTAAAACAAGGGAAGCAACATACCGTAGAATAAACTGTGGCTGAAACCAGGTTTGCAGCTGTTAGGTTCAAGGGAGGAGAGAATATCGTACCGATATATGGTGGATGATTGTCAGGCAGATGCCAATGCAGACAAGCTTGCAAGGCAATTCAGATACATCCCATCATTATTACTGTTCTGTTGGTTCGTATCTGATCTGTTCATCTTAGAAGTCTCTAGCCCTTAAAGCCAGCAGCTAAAATAGTGAATCCCCCCCCTTCTAGTGGTTCCACTAGAAATCTCAAACTAACTTTTTAATGCTTTTGACGGTTGAAGCGTTGTTCTGTTTTGTTTTTCAGACGCGTTCAAGTCTTCACAGTGATTTTCACAAAAAATGTCGCAAGCATGTGCAAATGCGACGTGCAATTCCCGATTACACGAGGGGGCCAATTTCAACAGTTTTTGCGTGTGCAATTCACGCACAACGAACGCCTCAGACATGGACCTGCTGGAGCGGCACAAACAGCGTAGGAAAAGCAGAAATGCATAAAAAACAGAGAGGTTTTATGTTAAGAATAAAAAAAGGAAGAACGAGAAGGAAACGACAACGCACGTAGAGAGCTGATTGAGCGAAAATTGTGGAATGGTAGGGTGTGGGGAGATGGGAGGGGAGAAAGGAAGGGTGACTTGCAGGCATTTCGGGGCGAGCGCGAAGGTGCCGAGATGGGTGATGGGAGGGGAGAAACGAAGGGCGACGGGCAGGCATTTCGGGGCGAGCGCCAGGGCACCGAGGTGGGTGACGGGAGGGGAGAGAGGAAGGGCGATGACTGTTTCGAGGGAGAGAGGATAGGCGACGGGAGAGATCAAGGGCGACGGGAGAGAGGATAGGCGACGGGAGAAAGGAAGGGCGACGGGAGAGAGGATCGGCGACGGGAGAGATAAAGGGCGACGGGAGGGAGGGCAACAAGAAAGAGAAAGGGCGACGTGACAGAGAAAGGGCGACGGGAGAGAGCAAGGGCGACGGGAGAGAAAAAGGGCGACGTGACAGAGAAAGGGCGACGGGAGAGAGAAAGGGCGACGGGGGAGAGAAAGGGCAACGGGGGAGAGAAAGGGCGACGGGGGAGAGGATAGGCGAGGGGAGATAGGAAGGGCGGAGGGAGGGGCGACGGGATGGGCGACGGGATCGACGACGGGATGGGCGACGGGATGGGCGACGAGATGGGCGATGGTATGGGCGACGGGATGGACGGTGGGATGGGCGATGAGAAGGCAGCGGGACGAGCCACGGAAGGGCGGCAACAATCGCGTGGGTAAGGGAGGCGAGAGGAGATCGCGTGGGCGACGGGACGGAAAAACGCGGGCGCAAAGGGACAGACTGAAAAGCTTACACTCATAGCTTTCAGATACAACACGACGGACATTTTGATTAATACATGTGTAGATAACGAGGGCCTAAGTTGAGACATAGCCTATGCCTAGCCTAGCTACTTAAAACTTGCGACGCAAAATTGGTAGTAGTTCACCCCATCCCAACTTGAAACATCAGTTGGGCCCAAATCGCTTGGACAGACTGAAACGATCGCCTGTGCAATTGTCGTGCGGGCTTAGCAATGAGAAGTGCGGCGCCACACATCAGGAAAATGTCTCAATTTTGGCGGGAACCAATCAAAGGTGTTCGATTTGCACGTCCGCAGCGTTTGAAACGGTACAAACTTCTCAGTCCGTCTAAACTTTGTTTCGCCCGGCAAACTCGTCCCTGCGCCCTTTCAAGTTGGGTTTGGGTTCACTATTTTGCATCTCGGTTTTATACCTGTTACGGGTGCAATAAATCTAAGTAGCAAGAATTGCACTAAGGTGTCAAACGAGTACAAAATGTGAGCGAACATTTATACGCGAAACATGTAAACGGTAACGCGGTGCGTGCGAGCTAGCTAGTGCTACGCTGGAAGCGAGGCTCGGGCTAGTCCCGAAGCGTAGACCGACACGGCCAGGCCAGCAGTGCGAGGTTTGGTGAAACAGTGCGCGCGAAGTCGGCGAAGCCCCGTTAGTAGTAACGGGCGAACAACGGCTGCTGTTGTACGCGATGCTGCAGGGTGCGCTAAGGAATATCAAGAAAATTCCTTACACTATCCCCCCCCCCCCCCTCAAGAAGCCCCCTCCGCTATGCGAGTGCGTGTATATCGCGGAAGCCCCGACTCCTCAGGTACACTTGCAGGGCAAGGTGGTTATCGATGTTGGCCAGGGGCACCCAGCTGTCCTCGGTTGGCGTGCGATCCTTCCAGCGAACGAGGAATTCAATCCTCCTGATTCCCGTGGGGTGTCGAATCCGATGGCTCAGGATTTTTTCGGCCTCGATGATCGGCTCCGATGCAGGGCCAGTCATGGATGGCGGGCGGTGGCAAGGCAGTTGGCTTGTGGTTGGGATGTATGGGCGAAGCAAGCTGACGTGGAACGAAGGGCTGATGTACCAGTCTGTCGACAACAATAGGTGAGCTATTACTTGGGTAATCATGTGGCTGATTTGGAATGGTCCACAGTAGCGGGGTCGTAATTTCGGTACGACGGGCAATCTTAAGTTTTGCGTGTCGAGCAGTACGTAATCTCCTAACTGGTACGAGACTGGGCGGCGGTGGCGGTCAGCGTTGCGCTTAGCGATGACGTTGGCTTTTTTAATTGCTTCTGCGGCTCTGGTACGGGCAGCCTGCAGAATTTCGGCGAATTGCTGTGCGCGTGGTGTTGGGTTGTCCAGACTCGGCGTCATGGGCACTGTAGGGTTTTGCCCGTAGATCAGATAGAAGGGGGACTGTTGCGTCGTCGCTGACATGGCGTTGTTGTACGCGAACTCGATCAGCGGCAGCTGCTGCTCCCAAGTGGTCGGGTCGTCGCACGTGGCACGAATCAACTGCTCCATCGTCTGATTCGTTCGCTCCGTTTGAGCGTCGGTCTCAGGGTGGTACGACGAGTTGAACTGTAGCCTTGTCCCGAACTGCTCCCAGAGGTTCTTCAAGAAGTTGCTGGTGAACTTCGTGCCACGGTCGCTGATTATCGCAGCTGGTATCCCGTGCAGTCGAACGACGGGTGCGATGAATAGGCGAGCGGTTTCTTCGGCTGAGATCGATTTCTTGCACGCAGCGAAGTGTGCCATCTTTGTCAACCTGTCAACGATGACCATAACCGCGTCGTTACCCCCACGGTTCGAAGGTAACCTTGTGACAAAATCCATGGTAACTTGCTGCCAGGCGCGCTCAGGCGGTGGAATCGGCTGCAACTGACCTGCCTTTCTTTTTCGCGAGCTCTTCATCACCTGACACGTAGGACACGAGCCCACGTGGTGCTGTACGTCGGTCAACAGCTCCGACCAGTAGTAATACCGATGCAGTTGCTGTCGCGTTTTTTCTACCCCGAAATGTCCCGAGGTAATCCCTGTCAGTAGATCTGCACTGTGGATGCCCGATTGATCCTGGAGAGGGTTACAGGCGAGTTTGCCTGGGGGGTTATGGGCGCACTGACCCGCTACTGAAACAAGCCATTTTATCCCAATAATCTAGTGGTTGGGATTCTGACATGGTATCAGAGCGGTCTCGGGTTTGATTCCCGGTGTATGCACATGTAGGCCGTTGCCGTTGTGCTTAGTCCTGGGCCTCCCAGTGTGGGAGGGTGTCAGTAGATCTGCACTATGGATGCCCGATTGATCCTGGAGAGGGTTACAGGCGCGTTTGCCTGGGGGTTTATGGGCGCACTGACCGGCTACTAAAACAAGCCCTTTTATCCCAATGGTCTAGTGGTTGGGATTCTGACAATCCCGTCGTGTGTCTCCTGCAGTAACAGTTCCCTCAGTAGTGAATACGCGGGTACCCAGATGCGGTTGGTGCCTGTTTTTACGTAATGGACTCCTCTGGCCTCTGCCAGTTGCTGTGAATTTCCGGTCGTGAAAAATGGGTCAGTACTGTATCCGTGGGTGAATAGGCCTGTTAATAGTGGGCTGGTCTGGGCGAGTAGGATGGCGTGGAGTTGGGCGGTGGGGCGTATGAGTGCGTCGGCGATGCTGGATGCGCCTTTTTTGTACGTGACCGTGTAGTGGAAGTTGGACTCCAGATAGTCCAACCAGCGGATCTTTCGTGGGTTGAGATTCGGTGGGGCACGGAGGTACTGTAGGGCGGTGGTCTGTCCGTACTGTCACGTCTGCTCCCATGAGGTAACATCGCCACACCTTGAACGCATGCACGATCGCCAGCATCTCGCGGTCGTGTATCGGGTAGTTGCGTTCGGGCGGGTGAAGCTTGCAGGACTTGTACGCGACTGGCTGAAGGTCGTTCCCGAAATCTTGCTATAGTACTGCTCCTACAGCGATGTCGCTAGCATCAGTGACGAGTTTGAACGGCCGGTGCGGATCCGCGATATGAAGTACGGGCGGTGAGCACAAAATAGTTTTGAGGGAAGAGAAGGCACCTTGCTCTTTCCCCCCCCCACGTGTACTTAACCCCCTTCCTCAGCAGGTCAGTCAACGGGGCAGTCAGCTTCGCCATGTCGGGGACGAACCGAGGCACGTAGTTGACGAACCCCAAGAAAACTCTGCAACTCGGTCAAGTTGGTCGGTGTGTGCCACGCTTGAATCGTCGCAATCGTTTTCGGGTCTATTTCCACTCCTGCAGCTGAAATAATGTGTCCCAAAAACTCCAGTCGGTCCTGTAAGAACTCACACTTAGACGCTTTTGTTAGTAGGCGGTTCTAACTCAGTATCTTAAAAACTGCTTCGATTTCCTATAAGTGTTGTGACAAAATTAGAAGAAAGAAAAGGAGTGAACTAGCAGAAATGGGGATACAAATAGCAAACCCTAGAAGGGTTGTACTCGCTATAGAGCACCCCACTACAGGCTAGAGCATAAGAACAATATTCTGACACACCCCCATAGCCAAAGTGGGGTGTAATCAGCAGAGCAGGCAAAGCAAAACAAGCTCAGGGTGGATCACAATGTCACCACACATTCTGAGCACAAGTTCAAGAAGAAATAGTTTAGAGTTCACAATTATAAGCAAAGCTAGTGGTAGTCACAACGGGCAAGTGAGGAGGAGGAGGGAGAGTGAGGGGAGAGGAGACAGGAGGCGACGACTGAAGCTGCAGACACACGGGCAACAGGAGGCAGACTGGCACAGCGGCTACCGGACAGCGCCCGGACTACAGGAGTAACAGGCCCCACGGCTCAAATAGCGGCGGACGGGCAACGGACCCACGGGCGGCTGGCACAGCTGGCTACGACTGGGCTACCGGGACAGCGCCCCGGACTACAGGTGCTGCGGACGACAAGCCGGCAGCCTCCGCTCAACCTCCCGCAAACAGTCCCACCCCCCTGATACACACCCACTGCTACACCGCTAGCTCTACTCCCACGCACCCCCCCTTAAACCCTAAACCCCAGTCTCCCACACAACCACCCCCCTCAGCGACAGCTGCAGCAGTGGGAGACGAAGGAGGAGGAGGAGCAAGGGAGGAAGGCACACCGGCCACCCCCATACCCGCCACCCCACAGCTCGCGGACCCCTCAGGTCGCCTCGACGGACGACGGGAAATGGCAGGGGGAAGGGGGGGGGGGGGGGGGGGGGGGGGGGGGGGGCGGTGTGGTGAAAGGGGCCCACCACGGGCCTGGTTGGAGGGCGGGGCCGCGACAAGGGGCGGGACCGCGACGGTCGGGGCGGGGCAGCGACGAGGGGCGGGGCCGCGACGTAGGGCGGGGCCGCTTCGAGGGGCGGGGCCGCGACGCAAGGCGGGGCCGCGACGTAGGGCGGGGCCGCGTCGAGGGGCGGGGCCGCGACGGTCGGGGCGGGGCCGTGACATAGGGCGGGGCCGCTTCGAGGGGCGGGGCCGCGACGCAGGGCGGGGCCGCGACGTAGGGCGGGGCCGCGTCGAGGGGCGGGGCCGCGACGGTCGGGGCCGCTTCGAGGGGCTGGGCCGTGACGCAGGGCAGAAGCCCGCCGCGCGCCTCGGGGCGCACAGCGGGCAAAGAACCGCCGCGCGCCTCGGGGCGCACGGCGGGCAGAAAACCGCCGCGCGCCTCGGGGCGCACGGCGGGAGGAAAAAGTAGCAGCGGAAGCGAGGTGGTAACCCACCCACAGGATCGATCCAAGGGGATCGACCTGCTCTGATAGCATGACAAAGTTTGAAGAAAGAAAGAGGAGTGAACTAGCAGAAATGGGGATACAAATAGCAAACCCTAGAAGGGTTGTACTCGCTATAGAGCACCCCACTACAGGCTAGAACATAAGAACAATATTCTGACATGTTGTGCTCTGTCAGGGCTATAAATCAGGATGTCGTCTAGGTATACAATGACGCACTTATCTAAGATCGGGCGGAAGGCTTCGTTCATGGTCATTTGAAAAGTGGCGGGGGCGTTGG